ATATTATCTTGTTTAATGGCTGTGACTGTCAATGAAACCTTTATCTTAATTAGGAATCTTCTTCTTTGGGTGCCTGGTTATATAATTCATGATATTTTACCATTTTTGTTTGAGCATACTTCCAATGTTTCTACTCCCTGAGTGTCTTCACACCATGCCATGAAAGCACCTATTCCCCCTTCCTCAAAACACACACACAAACATACACACACACAAACACACACACACACACACACACACTCCATATCCAGCTCTAGTAACAGTAGTTAAATCAATACTACCATTCCTGGAAAATAATGATATTCTAATTGCCCTATGATTGCATTCAACATCCCTGTAACTTCCTTGACCAAAATTAATCTCCTAGGCAACCATTCCTCAAATGTGTTATCTTTAACTATTAGAATACAAGCTCTTGGGTGCAAGGATAACATTGTTTTTTGTATTAACAGTGCCTGCATTTAACAGTGCCTAACACATGTTAAACACTTTAAAAAATCTTTTTTCATTCATTCTTTTCTTCACCACCTCCCTCCCACATGCACACAGGTCTACTTTTTTTTTTAATCCAGACACATGTTTTCCTTAGTAAAGTCTGGATTAGGAAATTCCCTCTGCCATTACCCACTTCTAAAATTATTTAAAAGGAGAAGAGAGTAACAATTGTTTGATTTGCCCATTTTAGGACTGGGAGGCCTTCTAAGCTGTCACTGGTTACATATTAATTTAATTTGGCATTGATAGATACTAATTATTGCATGCTGTGAATACATGCAAACTCTCAAAGGCACAAATTGTGCATTTTAGACATTCATGTTCATATGCTCTATTCTTGGCATGCATTTTTAATAAGACAATGAAGTATTACAGGATTTTATTTGAATATGTAGTGACATTGACAAGTGCTCTATTTTAAGTATATGGATTATTAAACATGCAATAAAAGATCTACTACTGTTCTGCATTGGAATGGTAAAAAAACAACAACAAAAATACTTGCCTTTCTGTAACATGAGCTACAGTTGTAATGTCAGCAATGGATAAAAAACATCCTCACAAAATTTATATAAAAATACTGAAGAGTTGTGCATAATCTTGGAGCACTTTTTTTCATGCTGTTTGTATTTTCACCAGGTGCTTGTAGAGCCAAAGGCTGTCCACTTTGAGGGCTTTGATCACATTTGGGAGCACTTTAAATCAATTTCTTGAGAAGGATCCTTTATATTCATTTAATATTCTCTTTTATCACATCATTCTTAGTATGCTTCCCTTTCTCCATCGTTTTCTGGGCAGGAGGCAAGCATTATTCATTGAGCATTCCCATTTTGTAAGTCAGAACACTGAGGCAAAAGGTGATTAAATGGCAGCAAATAGCATAGTTAGCAGCAAAAGCATGACTCAACAGCCTTTAAGTGTTCTGAACCCCAATATTGATGAAAACATTATTCACATGCTTCCTCCTATTGTAGAAATCTCAGTTTTATGAGATAGAAAAATAAGGAAACCATAAATCGCATAAAATGACCAGAACTGCTAAGGATTTTATTTCAGGTCAACTTTATTACCTGTCTTGGAGTTAATGAAGATACTGCTATTTAAGGAGCAGAAAAAGTGTTTATAAACTTGTATTTTATTGACTCAGACTCAGAGGTACAGAATAAGGTCTCTAGGAAGCTAGTAGAATCTGAGCAAAAAGATAATTTAAATTTTAGGGAAGTCTTGGGCAAGCATCCTGTCATGTCGCAATGGCCTCCTTCTGGCCTCTGCCACTAGTAAGATCTTTGCAGTGTCTGGGTGACAGCTTCAGTTCAAGTCTCTCCCTTCATTCCTACATATATCCTAGACTTGTCATCATTAGAAGACTTAGCCAAAAATGTCACTCAAGGCCATCAGTTTACTTAAAGAGAGGTACCAAGAACCCTTCCCAAAGAGGACTTACTGTTGACTCTCCTGGCTCCTCCTCTAATAAAGAGATCTGACTCTTCTTTATACAATATTGGCCTGCCAGCCCATTTGTTGAGTGTGTGGCGGCCTCTGCTGGGATACAGCTGCATCCAAACGTTACGCTACCCTAAGAAGACGACATGTGGATGCTTAGGAGAGGTAAGAGAGAGAAAGAGAAAAGAGAGTGTGTATATGGGGGGGGGGGGGGGGGGAGAAAGAGAAATCTGCAAGAGGGAAGCAGTGCATCCTGGAAGGAGGAGCTGAGGAGGGAGCCGCTGGGATCCAAGGCAGAGAGCTGGTGAGCGTACCCTCCCTCCATCCCGTTCCACCTGGGGAAGCGGTGGAACTTCAAGAGATTCAGTATGTGTTGGTGACAACTGAGACATCTGCACCAGGCAGCTCGGGTTGGGGAGCAAAAGGGTACGGGGCGGGGAAGGGGAGAAAAAGGAATTTGCAGAACATCTACTAACCTCTCTTCCCGTGTCCAGCGCAGTTGGTAAGCTGGGCGGGGGAGGAGGGGGGAAGAAGCTGCTCAGTGTGGGGGAGATGAAGGGGGCGGGGGTGGGACACCATTCGACCCTATAGGGAAGAGATGAGGCGGGTGGAGAGGATGGGGAAGGGCACAGGATGGAGGGGGGATTCTCAGCCTTCTCAGGGGAGCAAATGACCCTTTGGGACAGAGAGAGAGAGCCCAGCCACTGCTGGCTGAACTGTGTTTGAATTGGGGAGAGACAGACCCCAGACAGAGGGAACGGTGTGTCGCCTTTCTTATTGGGAAGTGCCTAGAACCCGGAGCACAGCAGTATCTGGTAGAGGGAGAAGGGAATTGACGGAAGGAAGGAACCCGGTGCCAGGGAGAGCCCGGGAAGAGTGCAAACTTTGCCTAGCCAGACTCCGTGGGGCAAATCAGATCCCAGAGATGGGAGGGTGGTCATGGAAGAGGGATAGGACAGGGGATAGCGCTGCCCGCACTGAATGAGAGGATTGCTACCGAGGTGCGGAGCCGCTTCCAGAGGAGTTGCTTTTGCCCACTTCCCTCAAACCAGAGACCGCAGCTGCAGAGGGAGAAAAGGCTGGGAGGGGTACTGTTTGGAGGGGGTGTAGATCTTGGAAATACCAATCTTTTCTTGCCCCCCCCACCCCCACCCCTCCTCCAGTGCCCTTGATGTTTAAAGTGCTGAGGGCAGAGGTGTGTATTTAGCGCGCAAAGGGCTATGGCCAAGAACTGCCTATTTTACCTTTTGTTTATCTCCCAGCGCTTAGCCCATAGTATGCGTTTATTGAATTTGTCTACCTCCCTCCTGGCCCTTCCCTTGCCCTCTCTTCGGGGCACCTGGGTAAGTTTTCCGTTTTTTGGCTTGCTTGCTTTTTAAGAGTTGAGGATGGGAGGCTGGGACTAGGTGCAGCCTGGTGTATTGCAGTGCGATTCCGAAGGGGCAGATAACCACGGATCAATTGGCAGAGGCTTTGGCTGTGGAGCCTCTACCCGCCCTTTGCATATTGGTAAGACTCGATATTTGCAAGGAGGGAAACCTATGGAAAAAATAACACTGAGTAATTCAATGAGATACAGAGGAAAAGGGAGATCTGGAACTAGGCAGGGAACCGGGAAGGGAAGTGAGAAAAGAAAGGCATGGTGAGGGAAAATCCAAAGGTGGGGTAGATTATCTGAAGATCAGTGAAATTCCCCCAGGAGGGAGAAGCAGGGGTCGAGTTAGCAAAAAGAGAAGGCTGGAGTGGATTCAGTGCTCTGACTCCGCAACCCTCCTCCCACTTCCCTCCCACCTACCTCCACACACCCTGGCACACACGAGGATGGTGTTCCCGGCTAGAGAGCTTACGCAGCGGATCTGGAGACCCCCTGGGGCTCCTTACCTCTTTCCTTCAGCACCTAGTGCAGAGGATGCTGGAAGAGAAAGAAGCCCCCTCCCCTTTTTATTTTTGCTCCTTCCCTTCACCTCCCCTTCCCTGGCTGTTATATGACCGGTTATATGCCAGTTACAGGGGGACCCAAAGGCGAAAAGGCAGGGTGTAGGTGACCTCTGACTCTGGAGACCTTCCTCATTTAAATATGCCTTGGGGTAGGCACTAGGAAGCTTTTTTTTTTAAGCATTTTAGGTTTAAAGTCTTTATTGTGGTCCCTCATTTAGGGGAATTGGCAACAACGGTTTTCTGGAACAAAGTACAATGAAAGCAGGCAGGCTGCATGTATGTGCAGATGTGTGTTGATTTGGATTGCACGAAGAAAAGCACATTGTCTGGATCTGAGTCCTTAACCACGAGAAAAAGGAGAACGACTGCCTCCAATTCTTTAACTCGTTAATTAGGGATCACAACAGAGCTGAGAGACAGATTTCTCCAAAATATAAAAATTATTAGGTTATTTAGTCATTGAGGCAGCCATCCAAGAAAGTGGCAGTCTTTCTAATAAGCAGTTGTTATAGTAACCTTTAGAATGTTCCCAAAAAGTGACCTTTGTCCTCTTTCCCCAAAATTTTTCATGACACCTTGCAGTAAAAGGAGTAAGTTGGCTTTGAACACTTAGGGGGAATGAAAGTAAAACAAAACAAAACAAAACAAACAATCAGGTACTAACAGAATCACTTTCTCAGAAAATACCATGAATTTAATTTGAGGAACATTTGAGGTAATTATTACTTGAACAAAGAGTAAGAGGTTAAAATTAAATATTTGGGTTAATGGTTTAAGAATGAAAAGCATGATTCTGCATTTTATTTTATGTTTAAGTGAAAAAAATAAAGCATTATGCTAATTTCTTTTTACTGTATTTTATTGCCTTCTGAAAATGAAAGTCATGAGGGATCGAGTGTGGAACTGTACTTGTATAATGACACCAAAATGTATCCTAATGTTTCTTTATTTATAAATAGTTAAAAAATGAGTCTTTGCAGTATGGTTTGGTTCCAAGCTGTTTATCACCAAGACATTCATGGGCATATGTTCTTTTTTTTTTATTCATTCCAGCCTAAGGATCAAGGTGGAAAAAAGAATTTCCCCCCAAAATTCAACCACTTCACTTATTATTCTTATTGGGAATGGACAATGGAATGTTTTCTAGCTTTGTCATGATCAAAAATCTCCTCCTCTTTTGCATTTCCATGAATTTAGCCAGTCACTTTGGGTAAGTCATCTGGTTTTTCCAATTACTATATTTTATAACAGCAACAAACATGTTCAATGAAAGAATTTGTTCAATGGATCATAGATATAGAACAAGAAGGGATCTTATAGGTCCTCTAACCTAGCCTTCTGATTTTAATGAGGAGAAAAATGGATTCTAGATAAATCAAGTGACATATTAAAGGTTTTCTCAGTGCAGAGCTGGGATTTGAACCCACGTTCTCTGACATCAAATTCAGTGAGCTGAAGAATTAATTTAGAGTTCTTTGCCCACCTAGATATCCCTGTATCCTCAGTGTCCTAGTGGCTAGAAATAGCATTAAATGAAACTTTCTTTGATAGATTGACCACCTGAAGTGCAGTTTCTGAAGTGAGTCAGAGAAAAGAGGACTAGGGTAGAGAGTATTTGTGAATTTATAACCTTAAGAATGGAAGCAATTTAGTTCAAAATCAGCAGTATTTCTTCCAATTCAGGTTAAAAATTAAATTCAGAGGTTTAATCCTCATTTGCACATTTTTTTTGTTAGAAAAACAGTTCATAAAATTTAATAGCTATTGTTCTCTCATTCACAATAGATTATGAAACATGTGGTATCATTCGAAGGTTGTGATTGCTTATGACAATGAAAAGTTGTCCCAAATTTACTCAATAACCTTGGATTTGTGTCTACTTTGAATGTCTGAAAAGTCACCTTGAAGCCTTATATGATGAAGAATTCCTTGCATTGTTATTTCTGTTATGGTCTTTTGTGTGATTTTTTTGTGTCAATATCATGGGCATTTTAAAATATTCTTTTCCCCAAAATGACATTTTCATCATTCCAGAGAAACTTATTCTTTTCACACAGAGGCCTTCACACCCTCTTTGTGTTGTTCAGACCAATAAGGAGAGTATTTCTTAGCATTGATGAGATGAAATTTAAATAATGAAGTTAAAGAGAGTATCACAGAAAGCTTCCAAAGCTTTAGAACTATCAGACCAAAGAATTGTCTTCTGAGGTGAACTCTTTTAAAACTAAAATGGATAAAGAAGTTGGGAACCTTAGGATAGGAAATGTTTCTGCTCCTCCTGACCCCTATTGCAATGATACATATTTTCCTCAATATCTAATCTACCCTGCTTGTAGCCTAGCATCCTTGAATGCACATTGTTTTCAGTTCAACAAATTAGTGTTCCTCAGAAATTTGAAATAGGCTTTTGGAATATGTACCAATGGTTTTTAGAATTTACTGTAAATAATTATTCTGTGAGAGTCATATACACCTTAATTAATGCTATAAAAGTTATTTATAGCAGTAGTTCTCAAGTTTTTCAACCTGTGTTTTTCCTTTTTTTTCACCTTTCTCCCTTTGGATATCCCCAGGGAATATAACACCATAGTTGCCACATCACCCCTTAAATGCATTTCAAAAACCCTAAATCCATTTTTTATCCTACAGGAGGCCCCACCAGTAAATAGCTATCAGGCATTTGAGTGGTATGTACCATGAGCCAGTTGAAAATCTTGTAATTTCCCAGGCATCCTAACAATATGGAGAGAATGATACTCAATTAATAAAGAAAATATACACTTTAATACTTACTCTCTCATTTTCTTCAGGGAACAACTTAATTAAGAGTAATCATTGCTATTAAGGCTTGAGTACCAACATAGGAGCATAGATTTAAAAGTGGAAGGGGCCTTAGAAGCCATTTAGTCCAACCCCATCATTTTACAAAGGCACCTAGCTAGAGTGCTAGACCTAAAATCAGGAATACCTTAGCTGAAGTCCTGCCTCAGACATTTACAAGTTGTGTGATGCTGGGCAAGTCAATTCATCTTCATCTTACTTTCTTCATGTGTAAAATGCAACTAATAATAGTACCTACTTGGTAATGTGTTTGTGAGGATAAAATTAGATACTATTTGTAAAGCACTTTGCATACCTTAAAGTGCTACATAAATGCTATTATTGTTATTATTATTATCATTATTATTATCAATTAGATGAGAAGACTGAAGATAAATAAACCTGTAACTTGTCCAAGGGTGCATGTATAATAAATGGCAGAGTCAAGATTTAGACTGAAGGCCTCCAACTCCAAATCCAGTAGTCTTTTTCCCATTATACTTCATTATCCATCAGTCCCTTAATATGATATTAGATTAATTCACAATCATTTATTATATGTAAGGCAATGTTAAGCCTTGAAGATATAGAGGTGAAAAATTGCAATCTTGCACATTAAGGAACATACAGATTAATTAAGGATGGATGATATCTACAAAAAGAAATATGATATAGAGTACAATGTGAAGCTTTCAAGGCTGTGGGGGAGAGGGGGTGATAATGGAAGGAAAATCAGAGATCCAGGCATAGTGCTCCAGGAACATCTGAAGAGGGAGTAATTACTTATAGCTGACAGAATCAGAAAAGGAAAGCTCCATGGAGGCGACTGTACTTTGAAGAAAAAGGAGAATTTCAATAGACAGGGATGAGGAGGGAGGGAGTTCTATAGGGGCATTACCGTTTTGGACATAGAGACACTGATATCCATACAAGGAGAACAGTGAACAAATAGTACTCCAGTATAGCTAGAATATAACCTGGATGAAGAGGATTCATGTAAAGTAAAGCTGAAAGGATATGCTTTAACCAGACCCTCCTTAAATACCAGGCTAAGGAATTTGTATCATTCCCTTTTAACTAATTAAGAAATGACAGAGGCTTTTAAATAAAGGGGGGACATGACCCTCTACATTGTTGTTACTATTGAATTGTTTTTCAGTTGTGTATGGTTCTTCATGACTCCATTTGGGGCTTTCTTGGCAAAGATGCTGGAGTGATTTGCCATTTCCTTCTTCAGCTCATTTTACAGATGAAGAAACTGAGACAAACAGGGTTACGTGATTTGCCCAAGGTCACACACAGCTAGCAAGTGTCTAAGGGCAGATTTAAACTCAGGAAAATGAGTCTTCCTGACTCCAATTCTGACACTCTATTCAGTGAGCCTAGAATCTATTCACTAGACCATCTACATTAGGCAGATTCTTTTGGCAGCAGTATGAAGGATGGATGGATAATGGTAAAGACTGCTGGCAGGAAGACCAATTAGGAGGGAGTTCTGAACTAGGGTGATGACTGGATGAGGACAAATGCTAGTCATATTGTGAGGTTAGGAGCGACAGGGTTTCCCAGTTGTTTCCATGTGGTGGTTTAGGATAAGGAAAGGGAAGAATAAAAACTGATTCCAAAGTTTGGAGATGGTAGTGCCATCACCAGAGACAGGGAAGTTTTAAATACGAGGCTTAAATGCCAAACTTTAAATACCAGTTTGGAAGGAGGGAAAAGATATATATGACACGCTGTTGGTAATATTACCTTACTTTATATAGCACATTTAACTTTTCAATGATTTTGCCTTGCAAAGTGTGACATCTGGGTTCTACATTGGGCTCTTCCACTGACTATATTTATGATCTTGGACAAGTCATTTAAAATTTGTGAATCTTAGTTCTCTCATGTGTAAAAGAAGAGAATTGAATTCAAGAATATTTAAGATTTCTTCCAGCTCTAAATTAAAATGAATGTGACTCTGTCAACCTCTGCTCTTCACATAGGCTCTGTAAACCAGATAGAATTATCTCCCTTTTATAGCGGATGGCACTGAGGCATATGACAGTGTACTGCCTTATCGAACATCATAAAGCTAGCTAATAGCAGAGATGAGATTAGTAGGCATGTTTACTGAATGTGTCATTAATTCTTCATATTAGCCTACCGTGCCACGAGCCTTTGGTACAAGAAATATGTTGTATGTAATATATCTCAAGAATAAATTTTTCTGATATAATTCTAATAACTATGGAAATTCTTTGATGTACTTTAACATCACAAATTCCAGGGGCTTTTTTCTCTCTTTTGGGCAAACACTTTGAATCCTTAAATAAGACTGGTATATTCATTTATTTAGATGGGCAACTAAACTAGTAGCCTATTAGTCATTAGGGAAATGTTCTAAACCCCAGGAATTAAAAGACTTAGAGCTTACGTGTTGGTACGTGTAATATATAGAATCAATGCAACAAATACTAAACACCCACTTATTTTGTAGCTTAACATATAGATACCTCTGTGTATCTATTATGTATGTATGCATATATGTATATATATATTTGTATGTGTGAACATATGCTAATTTTACACACACATATTTACCCATATACACATATACTCATTTTAATATGGTTAATGTCAAGATCAATGAGTTTATTGACTGGCTCATGATTAACAAGTATTTAGGAAGTTAGCATTCTGGTAGTGAAGGTGATAGTTAGGATTAGGAAGCTATCTTTTTCCTGAAACATTTTGGTCCTCAGTTATTTCTTTTTTGGGAGATTCACTGTCTAATCACAAAATAAGCCAGGTTAGAGTTTATATTTCATCATTCTACATTATAGAATTTTCATCTTCAGAGTCTTCATCAATCATAACAATCATACTTTTTAGTTTCTTCTGATTTCATATTTCAAAGAAAAATGAGCAGGTCTAAGATGATCTGAGATTCTATCCACTATTTCACACATACTATTTCCATAGCCTTCCTTCCATTGTTCCCTTTTGTGCTCTTTCATAAGAATATAAACTTTCATTCCTTTAAACTTTCTATGTTTTCACAGAAGGTTTTAGAAGCTAACGAAAGGATTACCTGCATTATTTCATGTGTGTGTTTTATAATTTCAAAATGGGGTTTCTAATACATACAAATCAAGATATATGAGTATGAAATTCTGGGAACTAGAGCTTTGTTCTAATACCAGCTGAAAGAAAAAAAAATACAAGATGCTAAGCAGGATTGTTGTCTATGGTCTAGGCATTAGCCTAGCAAAATTCTGAGTGGCATATCTCAAGAAGTTTGACCATCAGTTAAATATTTTTATACTATAGAAATGGTCTAAAAAATAACCTACTAAATCAAAGGTAATGTTTGCAGTCTATGTTGGTGGAAGGAATACACACCAAAGACATAAAGGAAACTTGAAGTATTGGAATGCAATGCTATGTATTCCTGCATATAGAATTGCGTAGAAATTTAATTGCTTTTTTAAGGAAGTTAATGCAGTAAAAATAATCTTGTCTGTTCATTAGAAAAGAAGCTTGAGGAACTTTAATATTCAAACTTTTGAATCTGAATGTAGGGAATTGATATTCCTCACTTAAACCTTGAGTAATTTTCTAAGTTAAATTATATCTTGAATAAAATGAGTTCTACAAGTGTCTTAAAACATTTCAGGGTTATATGCAACTATGAAATTACTTTAGTAGGCCAAGTTTATGCTACAGTAAGAGTGCTCATAACTCTGAATATCAGCTTTATTGCAAAATGAAAGTATCTGCATAATTTGGAAAGTAGTATAGTTCTATAGAAAAAGCAGGAACTGAGCAGTCCAATAATCTGGTTTCTGGTCCCTGTACTGGTCTAACTATGTGATCTTAGAGAAGTCATTTTATGCCCCTGTGATTCAGTATTTTTCAAATTTGTAAAATGGGGAAGATAATTCCTGTCATATTGATATCACAAGTACAGAGTGTGGAACAAAGAAATCTAGAACCACCTAGCTTCTGAATGAGCCAATAGAAAAAGACTTTTTAGAGCCATTCAATTTAGATGATCACAGAGGGGAGGGGTTGGGAAAAAAGTGACTAGATGTGATCACAAAGAAGGATACTGTGCTATCTTACTAAAGTTAAGAGAGAATGAGGAAGGACAAAGGCTGACCATTAGTATAAGAACAAAGATTTCCCCCCAAATAACAAAAATGTTGAAACCCACATTTCTAGAAAAGAACTAAGAAAACTAGCTAAAAGAGATAAAAGCATTATAGAAATAAGGAGGGAGAAACAGGATGAAGGAAACCAATGAACTTTTAAAAATCTTATGTTGATAAAAAATTAATGTGAAATATGTATAGAAATTTATTTTTTGCTCTTAGGAAAAAGATTGGAAATATGAAAAATACATGAAAATGTCATAAAGCAATATAATGATAAATTAAAGTAAGAGATATGATGACAGCTATGATTTCTCCTACCTTTTCATCACCCTACAAATTCCAAGTCTATTTCTGTTCTTGGAACAGACCTTAATTTTTAAAAAAATCCTTCTTAATTTATTTGATAGATGTTTGAATTTTCTTTAGATCATATAATAAGTTATTTTGTTACCTTTAATCAAACAGTACCTAAGAATCTTGGTTTTTGAGCTTGTATGAATATATGTTACATAAGTACATGCACATACATGTGTATGCACACACACACACACACACACACACACACACACACACACACACAGATAAAAGGTTTCACCAAGCTATCAAATCTAAGAAGGCTAAATTGAAAAGGGGGGGTGTTAGAAGACAGTATAATAAATTGGAGGATTGGTATAATTTGAAGGTTTATCATGAAAATTAAAAAATAAAATAAAGGGAAAAAGCACAGAAAAAACAAAAAACAAATGTAGAGTCAATCTGTCAACCTGAGTCATCTCTGTGCACTTAAGGAAAAAAAATACCTAATTTAAAGCTTAATCCATCCTACAGAGATAATAATTAGGGAAACAATAAAGATAATGAAAGAAAATAATTCCTAGGCGTATGCCTTATCAAGAAGAAGTTAGGAAGATTCTTCATGTCAATAGGCAGTTAGTTAAACATAGCATGGCAACTACTCAGCGTGACACCATGGGAGTGAAGTTACATCTCTATCTGCCAGCTTCATCTGGCAATCGATTGAACAATGAGTCAGAACAAGCAGGAGAAAAAGAATGTGTGCTTCCTATTTGAAAAAGAAAAAAAAAGAGGTTAAACTATATGAGATGCATCTCTTAATTAGTCTGAAATTTAAAAGTCAAGAGATATCACTAAAAATCATCTTTTTTTTTCTGAAGACTCCTAATGGAATTACTGATATTTACAAAGGTTGTTATGTTTGTGGTATATTTAGGAAACTGATTAACAAAAAATACAAAAGTAGAATCAAAGGGACTCCTAACTTTGACAACCATTTTAGGAGTTAGAAACCTTTTCTTGTCACCTTTGGAGCTCTTAAGATTTCTGTGGGCCTTTCAGATCATTTGGTGAATTGCAAAGAAAGTTCTCATTAGAGATTTTCCATTCATTTGCCATATCTCCCCCAAATCCCTATGCACCTTAACTCTTACAAAGAATAAGGAGGAGAAACCAGAAGCATCATATTTCTTTTGATAGATACAAAGCATTCTGAGTATTAAAAGTGGGTAGTTCTTGACATTCAATTTCTATTCTTTGATTGTCAAAACTATTCACATTGTATTTAACCATTTAAAGTCATTTCAACAATATGCAACTTTGTGGTAGTTTAACAATATTCTCTAATTTATATTTAATTTTTTTTATCATAGTATGAGTATTTCAACCTCTGTATTCAAAGAAAAAAATCAGACAGTTGGATAACTGACTACATCAGAAAATTGGACATAGTCTGAAAGACCAAGAGATCTAACCAACATGGGCCATTAGAACTTTGTATGTATTTTGCCTGTAGTTACCCGGAAATGAAAGCTAGTACATTAAAATAGTATTTCTTCTCTTATTAGTTGTCAAGAACATTTCAGAAACATTTGTTTTGTAAGTAGACCATATAAATCTCAGAACAGATTTCTTAAAAGAATGAGTAATATTGGGCCATAGAAGGTGAAGTTATCCGAGGTCTCCCTTGTAATTTGACCATTCAAAGTAGTGTGGATTCTAAGATTCCCTAAAACAAGTCACTCTATATATTATTCTCCATTTTTGGAATTATCCCATCAGGGATTATATGTTACTTTCTTACTTGTTGGGAAATTTGAAAGGGAACTCATAGGAAATTAATTTTCTAGTTTTAGTGGACCTTGCTTTAAAAAAAAATTCTTCTTCTTAAACAGCTATTCACAGATGCCAACAAGTTCAGTGAAGGATGAGACCAATGACAATATTACAATATTTACCAGGATCCTCGATGGTCTCTTGGATGGATATGACAACAGACTGCGCCCAGGACTTGGAGGTGGGTATATATTCCTTTCCTGAAGTGAGGTAAATACTGAGGACAATGATTATACTTCTTGAATACAAGAAATTCTATCGAGTGGCTCCTTTTACATTCCTAAACAACTTCCCATCCTCATTTAAACAGATAAACTAGTATAATAAGATGTGTTGGTACTAGAAACAGGCAATGATACCCTTAATAAAAATGGTCATTTACCATGCTTTAATGTTACAATATTCTTGGCATATGTGTTGACTGCTTTCATTCTTACAATGAGCTATGCAATGGATAGTGCAAGTATTGCTATATTTAAAAAAACAGTTTACATATTAGGAAACTGAGGATAATTGAGGTTAAGTTACTAGGCTAAGATCATGCAGATAATTAGTGGATTAGCTAGGATTCAAATCCATTGATCTTGACATTATACTATTTCATTCCAGGAATACATAGGGCTTGTTTTCTATTTTCTGGGTCCTAATTGTTTTAGAGAAAATTTATTGGTTTGGGAGAGCAAGTGTCCCTAAGAAGTATCCTTGCCCAAACAGAATCCTTTTTTCTGGAGCACTTAAAGAAGGACAAAAGCTTAGGTCAACCCTATATGGAGGGAATTTTTTACAAATCAACTTTACACCTTCATTCCTTGAAGATTTGCTCAGAAATCATTCACTATTAATTGAATAAACAGTAGGGGAAATAAATTCTCTTTAGAACAGGACAGATTGTGATATTCCTTAATAACATTCAGCATTAGTGATAAAAAGTGGTTTACTAAGAAACTAAGAAAAAAAGTGATAGCAATTTTAATTTCCTCATATGCATTTTGGTTTGGTTTTTGTTTACAAAGTGGTCACTTAGCATTCAAATACTATCCAGTGCCAATTTATAAAACACACAAAAATGAGAAACTCTAGGAGGAAAGGATTGGTATGAGGTGAAATTATTAGAAGGAGGGCTTCCCAATTAGCATTCCCAATAAAACCACTGATCTAAAAGATTCAATGATGCAAAAATTACTGAATTCCCTCTCTGAATATAGTATCAATGAATTCCATGCATATGTATACACACAAGCACACACATATATGCATAAACACATACACATATATCTATATGTGTGTTTTGTGTAAAGCATTATGTTAGACCCTGTGTGGAATATATAAAAGTTAAAGCATTATTCATTCAAGGAGAATGAAATCTACTTGAAGAAAGAAATAAGACATGCACATGTGGAAAATTGACAACATAACAGCATCAGGCAATACATGATGAGCAGTAAGCGTTGTACATAGGCTATAAATGCTACCAGAGTATAGATTTGAGAGAGCTAATTTTAGGGTGGAATAGAGTTATGAAGTACTCTTTACCTAATAGGTGCTCAGTAAATGATGATGAAAGGAAAGGTAGGTGGAGGAAATGGGTTTAGAGATGTTCCTTCAAACATGGGTAAGATTTGGGCAAAGAGTTACATAGGGTAAGGGGAACCAAATGATTAGATGTGATTCTCTCTCTATATGTCATATATAGCTATATGACATTGAATATTTTAAGATATATTTAAGGAATACCAAATGTGTTCCAAGTAAATGAAGTCTTCCTTAAAGTAAGGTCCTATTGCTGCTTCAGTAGTAATACAAACTTGGGTAGAATTGAATACAATTATACCAAATTATAGTTTATAAACCATAAGATCTTAGGAGCCTCTTTGGAAATATGACATTTTTAAAAGTGCAAAACTGTTAAAGAATTATATTTTGAGATATAGAGTTGTTTTAAATATCCAACTGCCTTTCAGACATCTCAAACTGGATACCTGGTAGACATTTTAAACTCAATATATCTAAAACAGAACTCGTTATCTTTCCCCATAAACCTCTCCTTCCCCTATTTTCTGTATTACTATAGAGGGCAATGCCATCCTCTCAATCCCTCAGGCTCCCAACCTAGGAGTCATCCTGGATTCTTCACTATATCTCACCGCCCATATCCAATATGCTGCTAAGGCCTATTATTATCACTTCTGTAACATCTCTTACATACACTCTCCTTTGACTCTGCCACAACTTTGGTGCATGCCCTCCTCGCCTCTTGCCTGTATTATCAAAATAGCCTGCTGGTGGGTTTCCCTGCCTCAAGTCTCTCCTCACTCCACTCCATTAAGCTACTAAAGTGATTTTCCTAAAGTACAGGTCTGTTCACATAACACCCCTACCCCAACAGAAAATTCCAGTGACTTCCTATTTTTTCCAGGACCATTTTTGGTATTCAAAGCCTTTTATAACCTAGCTTCCTACTACTTTTCCAGTCTTCTTATGTCTTATTCCCCAAGAGATACTCTTTGATCCAATGACATTGGCTTCCTGACTGTTTCTTGAACAAGACACTCCATCTTGATTCTGGGCATTTTTCTCTGGCTGACCTCTATGTCTGGAACACTCTCTCTCTCTGCTCTGACTATTGGCCACTTCCTTTAAGTCCCAACTAAAATCTCAATTTCTACAGGAAGTCTTTCCTAATCTCCCATTAATTACAGTGCCTTCCCTCTGTTAATTATCTCCTCTCTTCCTGTATATAACTTGCTTTTTATATATTTGTGTGCATGTTGTCTCCCCCCTTAGATTGCAAGCTCTTTGAGGGTAAGGGCTATGTTTTGCCTTTTTTTGTATCTTCAGAGCTTAGCACAATGTCTAGTGCATAGTAAGGTCTTAATAAATATTAATTAATTAGTTGATTATATTAGTTCCAATATTATGGAATCTTTTTAAAAATCGTATCTCCCTTCACTATAATTGTTTATTGTGGGTGGTTGGCGATTCTGGGTTCTCAAGGGCTATGTTAGCAAGGTTCAGAGCTGTTTGCATTGAACAAACAGCATGTTCACTACTAAAAGGTCAGGGTTTGGAGAGGCTTATAACTGGTAAGACTTGGAGTGGTGGTGACTTTTTGACCGAAATTACTCTGAAAGACTCTAATGGGTTGTCATGGAGTAACAATCTGCCTTGTTGGAGCATGGATCCACAATGATAAAATTACAGATCCTGGAAGAAATGACGTATTTAACAAATGATCTGATATTAAAAGTTCTGTAGCTTCCAAAGCACTTTTATATCTGTTATCTTATTTGCTTACTATCATTCTTATGAGCAGATGTGTTTGTCCCTAACAGACAAATTTAGAAACTGAGGCTCAGAGAGATTAAGTGACTTGGCCTATACGGAAATTCCCTGTGTCTCTCCATTTTTCTCTCTCTTTATCTATGTCTGTCTCTATCTGACTGTCACTATTTCTCTGTCTTTCTCTTGCATTCATTCCCTCTTTCCTTCTCTTTCTTTCTTCTTTCTTTCTCTTTCTTTCTTTCTCTCTTTCTCTCTCTCTCTCTCTCTTTCTGTTAAATTCAACATGAAAATGATTGTGATCCAAAACCAGTGTGTGTATTTCCAGCAACAAATGCACTGAGTAATTTATGATCTGAGGTCTAAATGTAGTTTCTGAGCATGGACAAAATACTTGATCAGAGAAGATTCAAATACAGTGCATTTGAACTTGCTCCAATGGAAAATGTAGACACTTTCAGGAAAATGCTTTTCTCTTAAGATGAAGTGTAGATGTTACTCAGCATTAGCATTTTAAAGAGTTAAGATGTACCTTAGGTAATTCATCCTCCTCATCCATACTAGGAAGAATTTAAATATGATCTTTGATGAAATTTTCCTTCTGCCTAATGGATTCAGATAGATACTATTTTATTCTACAACTCTCATTCCTTTGCCAGATCAACTGACTAAACCAAACAGGGATGGGATTTCTTGGTCTCTTGTATGATATTACCTGCATTATCAGACAGAGATTGAGCCCAGGACACAATTAACCAGTATTAATTGTAGTAGAAAAAGGTCTGGGAAAATTGTTAAGCTTTGCATGTAGGCATGAATAAGAGTCACCACCAGAAACATATTGAATTTACCTATTTCTGTGAGATTTGAGTTTTCCCAAGGTTTTCCAGGAGAACTTCAAGTTTGAGTATAGATGTCTACAATTATATCAGAATTTTTGATGGATAGCCCAAAGTTAAGTCTTTCACCTGGAAATTTTTTAATTGTCTAAGGTAATCCCAGAATACACTTCCTGACAATAATCATGGGAGCTATAAAACCAGCAGAGGATGAAGCAAAATGCCCTGCATTGAGTGAAAGTACCAACTTAAAATGTTTTTATCATTGACCATCATTCAAGTCTCTATTTCTTAGTATATAGTGATTGCATCCTGAAGTGTAGAATGTAACACTACATATCAGAAATTACGAAAACTTTCCTTTTTATTATAGATATAATAGTGTTATATTGTGGTACATAGATAGAGTATAGGACATGGAGTAAGGGTGATGTGGATTTAAATCATGCCTTTGTCACTAGCTATTACTATCAATAAATCATTTATCCATCCTACCATTAAGGCAATTCTTTAAGATATATATACGAATTTAAAATAAGTTATAATACTCTTTGATGCTAGAAGATGAGTTATTTTTAATAGGAAAATAACATATATCTTCATTATTTAATTGTTCATCCTTATGTTAATGAGTGAATCAGGGTTCATGTTTTTATATTTCAGAAAGAATAACTCAGGTGAGAACGGACATATATGTCACCAGCTTTGGCCCAGTGTCTGATACTGAAATGGTAGGTTATAGGGCATGGACCTTTCCAAGCCCCAAACTACATCCAAATGTTAAATTATAATATCTCCAGGGGAGAGATTTATTGAAATATAATAACCTTAATTCCCTTTTTTGGCTTAGGAATATACCATTGATGTATTTTTCCGACAAAGCTGGAAAGACGAAAGACTTCGTTTCAAAGGACCAATGCAGAGGCTGCCTCTCAACAACCTCCTTGCTAGCAAGATCTGGACTCCAGACACATTCTTTCACAATGGAAAGAAGTCCATAGCTCACAACATGACCACACCAAACAAGCTCTTAAGGCTAGAGGATGATGGTACCCTACTATACACCATGAGGTAAAAGCCCATTTATGCATTTCTTTAGAAGCCTGACATTTTAGAGAGTTCCTTCTTAGTATTGCTCATCTCTGGAGCCCTTTATTTCTCCTCTAGGGAATGCAGACTAATATCACATTTTTCTGTTATAAGTTTCTTTAAGACTATATAATGAGTATCACACAATAAATGCAGTGTCTCCTATGAAACCTTTTCATGAGCAGTTAATGTAGAGAGGTAGCTAGGTGTCAGAAAGTAGGAAGTGCTAGACTCTGAATTAGGAAGGCCTGAGTCCAAAAATCTCCCTCAGACACTAACTAACCAGCTGTATAACCCTGGACAAGTCACTTTAATCTCTTGCAATCTTAGTTTTCTAAATGGTGAGAGTAATAATGCCTACTTTGTGGGGTTGTTAGGAGGATAAAGGAAAAAAAAAGATAATGTGCAAAGCTTTTTGAAAACCTTAAAACACTATATGATAAAAATTATTATTATCATTATTAATTATATGTAGAATGACCATTGGGCACACAACTCTGTAATAGCCACTGTGAATGCACAGTTAGTAAAGTCCCTTCCTTCAATTCTTTTACAGCTTAGATCAATCTGAATTCTGTTTAAAGATTGTGCTTTTACTTATAATTACTTCTCATAGAATCTTAGAATTGGAAGGACCTTAGACATTTATGGAATCATAGAAATGAAGGATTTAAAACAGAAAGAAATTTAGAGCTTATCTAATCCAGTCTCATTTTATAGATGAGAAAACTGAGCCCAGGAAAAGTAGGCAACTTGTCTAAGCTTATACAGCTAATTAGTGCTTGCTCTTACTTAGGCCGACCCCCAGGGCTTACTGCAATGCCTGGCATATAGTAGGCATTTAGGAAAGAGTCAAATTGATTGATTGAATAATTATTAGATAGAACTCACAACTCACATTCTAGTGTTCTTCCTATTGCCATCACAATACTTTTCATGGCTTTTCTTAGGCAGGTGGGTAGTGCAGTGGGTAGAACACCTGGCCTGGAGTCAGGAAGACCTGAATTCAGATTTCACCTCAGACATCTACTGACTATGTGGTGAAGGGCAAGTCGCTTAACTTTTATTTGTCCAAGTTTTCTCATCTGTAAAATGGGAGTAATAATACCTATACAAACTCTGTTTGCCTTAGTTTTCTCATCTATAAAATAAGGATAAAAGAAGCACCTATCTTTCCAGGGATTGTTTAAGGATCAAATGAGATAATAATTGTAAAGCACTTAGCACAGTACCTGGCACATAATAAGCACTATATAAACATTATTATTATTAATTTTAATAAGGAAATATCACAAGACTAATAAATTAAGTTTTCTTGAGTTATTGTAGATTCACTATTCTTGGCATTTATGTGTATTTCTTTAGTTACAAGACTAACACCAAAAAGATCACCTAGATTAAGTAGAAAAAGCATATATTATTAATTTTGTTGGTTTTTAAGACTAAAGGAACCACATATATTTGTTTTTCAAAGAGAATTTTTAACATCTTACCTCTATGATTTGATAATATTTTCATGCTGGATATAAATCTGATTATTTTTAAACTGGAATGATCATACCTAATTTCATACTATGAATTGTTCACTAACTCTGAGTAAATCTAGCATTAAATCAATCAATTGAACAGAGAGAAAGATTATCATATTACCTTAACAAGGTTTTCACTAAGAGCCTCCATATATAGAAAGTACTTAGGAAAAGCTTAGGAAAAGTAAAGAAAAAATATTTGACTTAAGAAGATATTTATACACATAAGAAAATTGAAGTGCTGTTGAATTCCTACCCTTTAACTCATAATCTCACACAAAATAATGAGAATTTTTAAAAATGGACACGATCTTTTGAAAAAGAATAATAGTACAAAAAATATTAGGTAACCAATACCTCAAGGAGATTTTTTCTATTTTTTTCTATTTGATTTTTTCTATTATGTTTCCATTGTCTCGGATTTTTAATTTACCTATCTTGCCCATAGAGAGGAAATGTAGGTTAGTTAAAAAGAAAAAGGAGGATTTTCAAAAGCTCTGATTTTTTTGCTACTTTTTTACCTCTACTATTAAAATGATGCATTATCCCAGGCAGTTCACTACATATCTCCAGGTTTCAGTATCTATCTTCATTTGTTTAATAAGAGTGTTTGAATAGAACTCTGAGCTCCCATTAACACCTAATATTCTTTGAATTCTGATTTCTATGTCATAAGTGATACCTGGCATGTCTTTAAATGTGGACAATTGGTTAAAAAAAGTGACTGAATATACCCAAACTATATAAAAATTACTCTTCCTGAAATCATAACTATTACAATAAGGGACAGGCAGAGCAGTAGCATGAAATAATTAGTGTTTTGATTTTCTTAAATAAGATTTTAATATAAAAGTTTTGAGTTAATTGGCATAGGTCTTCTTATAGTCTCCTTGCCTAGGAATACATTTGGACTTAGACTCCAGAATGGGACCTGAACTATGAGTGGGGTTGATGCCTAGCCCTGAAGGTCATAGGCACTCAGAGACAGGAGTCTTCAATCAAATTGTTATGAAACACCTCCACACAATCCTCTATTCCCTGCCCCCCACCCACTCTGTTAATGGATAGGTTCTAGATATACCCATTTAGGACAATGACTGAATTATCTTGTCTTTGTATTTTCAGTGCTTAGCAAAAGTGGGAGCTTAATAAATTTTAGTTGAGTAAAATATGAATTCACTGTTCCCTTAATTTCAATCAAATAGTAAACATTTATTAAGTGCCAATTATGTGCCTGGCATCATTCTAGGCACTGGGGATACAAAAAGAGGCAAAAGACAGTCTCTGCCCTGAAGGAACTTATAATCACATGTGGGAAATAACATTCAAATGAATGTCTACAGGCATACCTTGTTTTATTGCTCTTCACTTTATTATGCTTCATTACATTTTTAACAAATTGAAGGTTTGTGGCAACCCTGGATTGAGCAAGTCTTTTGGTGGCCATTTTCCAATTGTCCTTACATCCTCTCTGTGTTCGATTTTGGTTAATTCATACAATATTTCAAACTTTTTCATTATTATTATATCTGTTATGGTGATCTTCAATTAGTGATCTTTGATGTTAATGTTCTAATTGTTTTGGGGTGCCATGAACCACATACATATAAGATAGTGAATTTAATTGACAAATGTTATGTGTGTTCTGACTGCTCCACCAACTGGGACGTTCCCTATCTCTCTCCTTACTCCTTGAGACACAACAATATTGAAATTAATAACCCTACAGTGGCCTCTGTGTTCAAATGAAAGAAAGAGTCAATTGATGTGGCAAATTCATTGTTTTCTTATTTCAAGAAATTGCCACAGCCACCCCAACCTTCAGCAAGCACCACTCTGATCAGTCAGCAGCCATCAACATCAAGGCAAGACCCTTCACCAGCAAAGAGATTATGACTATCTGAGGGCTCAGATTATGGTTAGCATTTTTTTAGCAATAAAGTAATTTTTTAATTAAGGTATGTACATTATTATTTTTAAACATGATACTATTGCACACTTAATAGACTACAGTGTAGTATGACTATAACTTTTATATGCACTGGGAAACAAAAAAAATGTGACTTGCTTTATTGTGTAATACACATTATTGTAGTGGTCTGGAACTGAACTCATAATATCTCTGAGGTATGCCTCTACAAAACAACCTATACATAGGTGAAATAAAAGATGATTAACAGACGGAAAGCACTGAAATTAAAAGGGGTTGGGGAAGGCTTCCTGTAGAAGGTAGGATTTTAGTTGGGACTTAAAGGATTCTAAGGAGGTCACTTATTGTGCATTCCCTGAAATATAATTCACCCACAGAATCTTCTGTAGCTGCTGGAGCAACTAGGTGGTACAGTGGACAGAGTGCAAGGGCCTGAAGTCAGGAAGACAGCTTCCCGAGTTCAAAACTGGCCTCAGACACTTACTATTGGCCTCAGACACTTTATGATCACGGGTATGTCACTCAACCTTGTTTGCCTCAGTGCCTTATCTATAAAATGAGGTGGAGAAGGAAATGACAAAACCACTCAAATATCTTTACCAAGAAAACTAAAATGTGGTCATGAAGAGTCAGACACAACTGAAATGACTGAACAACAACAACAACATAATCTTTGGCACAAGATGGTGGGCATATTTCAAAAAAACTCAACATGGAAAAAATTTTTTCATCTTTGAAAAATGGGCATATTTGTGATGGCTAGTGTATCTCTGTATGTCTTTTTGTTTTTAAAATGTCTTTTTATTTATTTAATTATTTCCCAATTACATGTAAAACATTTAACATTCTTTTTTTTAATTGTGAGTTCCAAATTCTCTTCCTTCTTCCCACCCCAACCTATTCTTTGAGAAGGCAAGCAATTTGATGTCAATTATACATGTGAAGTAATCCAAAACATATATTAATATTAGCCATCTTGCAAAAGAAGAAACAGAAGAAAAACAAGAAAAAGAAAGTTTAAAAAAGTGTGCTTCAATGTGTATTCAGATTGTTCTCTCTCTGGAGGTGGATAACATTTTTCATCATGAATCCTTTGAAATTGGCTTGGATCATTGCTATGATCAGAGCTAAGTCTTTCACAGTTGATCATCCCTATAACATTGCTATTATTGTGCAGGATGTTCTCCTGTTTCTGTTCACTTCATTTTTATCAGTTCATAAGTCTCCCTGAATTTTTGTAACATCAACCTACTTGTCATTCTTGTAGCACAATAGTATTCCATCACAATCACATACTAAAATTTGTTCAGCCATTCCCCAATTGATGGGCATTCCTTCAATTTCCAATTCATTGCCACCACAAAAATAATTTCTATAAATGTTTTTGTACAAATAGGTCATTTTCCATTTTCTTTGACCACTTTGTGATACAAACCTAGTAGTGGTATTGCTAGGTCAAAGGGTATGCACAATTTTAAAGCTTTTTGGTATAGTTTCAAATTGTTCTCCAGAATGGTTGGACT